ATATAATATACAAGTTTCACTTTTTAAATGGAATTACTGAAATAAATCTACTTTTTCATGATATTCTAATTTTATGACCAGCACCTGTATGTAAATACAAGTAATAATATTAAATAAATACATCCATCATCTTTACCCGCTTCTTCCTTTCAGGGTCACTGGTGCCCACATCCAGCAGTCACTATGCAAGGAACGGGGTACACCCTGGACAGGTCACAAGTCCATCACAGCTCAGCTCTACCACTTGAGCCATGTGAGCCGCAGGGCACCCAGAGGTACAGTACATTTTCATTGTTTAGCTAAGTCTAAAAAATGTTGAGAATAAAGTTTGGGAAAACATAAACTCACAGAAAAATGAAATAAATTTGAAAGTGACAAAGAGGAACAGGTCAAGAACAAATTGGTTATCAGCTGTAACTTGCCCAAAGACACAACCACTGAGACAGGTGGAACGGGACATCAAACCGGCAACTTACTGGTCGCGGGGACAAAACCCTCCCTCTATAACTCTAGGAAACTTTCACTTCCTCATTGGATTATAGAAATAGGACACAGACAGCAAAAAGAGAATCAGTTTCTAATTTCATAGCAATATTATTTTACTCTGACGGAAACATATTTTCTTGCAGAATAAACTGAAGTTTATAATTATGTGAAGATGAGTGACCTCTTATTTTTTGTAACACGGTAAGTCACAGAAAACATCACTTGTAATGGGAATTACTATATAATTGTGAATGTTTGCGCACAATAACCGAAAGGGATTATCAGAAGATTAACTTTAATTTGACAATGTTTTTACTAGAATAGTTTTTATATTTTCATGTTATACATATTTGTCGACATTTGTCGTGTATTTTAAGAATTATGACCCACAGTCAATCAGTGAAGCTTTGGACTAAGATTTAAAAATGGGATCAGAAGTAGACCCCACAAAACCTAAAGGAGGATCTAAATGTCCTATAGTTGGCATCACCTTTCTCTTTTTGTACCTGACCTGCTTTGTTGTTCCGATCAATGGATTTTCCTGATGACTTGTCGAATCGGCTACAGTGCAACCAGACTCACATCAGTTCCTCATGATATTCTTCAAACAGTGACAGGTTTTGATTTATCTAAAAACTTAATCTCAAGAATAAACCAATCAGATTTTGCAAATCTACCAGTTCTTACACAGTTAGATCTGCTTAATCACAGCATTTCACAGATTGACAGCTTTGCTTTTGACAGATTGAGTTCTCTTCAGTGGTTAAATCTAAAATGAAACAAACTTGTTGAACTAGTGGAGAACATTTTTCATGGTTTAAAGCAGCCTCACCGAACTAAGAATTAGTCACAATGAAATCAAATTTGTGACATCCACCTCTTTTTGGTCATTGACCAATCTAAAAATGTTGGATATTTATTGTAACAAACTGCAAACAACTACCGACCTGCATTTAATACTGCAGCTTCTTCCACGGCTACAGGAGCTGCTAGTAAGTGAAAATGATTTAAAAAGCTTTCGTTCATGGGAACTTACAAACCACAAACTTCACACCCTGGATTTGTCCTGTAAACCTTTAACAGACTTCGGCATTACTGCTGATGTCTTCCCAAATCTCACACACTTTACTATTGGCAATCCTTTAAAAGGGCAATATCATGTAAAATCAATTTTTTTTTAGTTTTATATCATGTTATAATGTTATACTCTCAAAAAAAAAAAAAACATGCCCAAAGCCTTGCTTTGACTCATTCATACATGTTTGAGAAATCCTGCATCGTTTTTAGGCAGCCATGCTGAGGAGCAAAATGACAGGTGGGGACCAGAAATGACTTTTGGTACCAGAAACGCCCCTGGGACGTGTCTTTAAGCCGAACTTCCTCATCACGGAGCACACCTCCCCACCCCACACACCCCACCCATGACTCCTGCAGGGTCTCGGGTGAAAAACCAAAAGTGAAACTTAACTGTCTTCTGAGCTCCTAACATTAGTTCTCACTCAGTGAAGCTCATTTCAAAATAGCATTTAAAGATACATTTGAGGAAATGTATTTTCAGATGAAAAGTAAACTGCATCATAGAAGCCCCACACCCTCCCCCTCACGAGCGCACCCCCCACC